GGTCGACATGACACCATCAAGTATGAATGATAAACGTACCCGAAGTTTTGCGTGTTCCCTCAGATCGTCCAGTTTTCCGAGACGACCTTCCTTGCGTTTGTTTATGCGCTAAATGGCAACATAATCGATGCATACAATCTTGGTAACCTAGAAGAAGTCTTCACACGAATGTAATACAGCTTACCGCTTTGCTTTCTTGTTTCAACGCTTTATGGTCGTCGAGGACGGCGCCTTCGTCGCCTGGAGTGAAATCTTCATCACTTAAATGATCCTTCTCAATGCCGAGCGTTAGTTGGGCGTAGTGTGGTATCACTACCCTTGGACTCGCTTCGTAAGCGTCGGCCTACGACACCAACCCCACAGTATTAGCTAACAGAAATCGCGACCAAAGTTCTACACAGTCGCCATAGCTTACGGCTCATGGATGGATGCCAACGCCCCTTCTTCTCTCGAATTGAACTGCTGGCCTTCGCGCGTTGTGTGTTCTGTACCCCTCCCCGCGTACAACGAGTCCCGCAACGTCGCCCGTGGCGCGTGTCGACCTCGTTACTCGGATTTTGGGAATGAGCGGTTCAGAGTTGACGTACTTAGGAAATTATATACGGTAGGTGCGTACTTAATACCAGGAGCTAAACTTAAGAGGTAACGTAAGTTTTGCAAAATATTTTACGCTAGAGTTTTTTTTAAATTTTACTAAAGCAATCTTACATGTCTCACGGTTAAGGTTGCGGTAACAACTACGAGCATGATCGCCGCCATAGGTCGGAGTGATACGTGTCTCAATTTCACATTCTTCAATTATATGGAATACACATCAATGCCCCCCCCGTTCACTCGATTCCACAAGGTTATCAGTGATGGTAAGATGGGCTTTCCTGGTGGGAGTGGCGACCTCTTGCTCAATAAGCCGGTCTAATGATTTCAACAGATCCAAATACTGCGAAAGTGTGTGTTAATCAGCACACGGACCAAGTGCCTCCAAAGGGATGTGAGGTATCATCGCTGTATCACTGTATATCCACTTCATATACGAATTGCAAATAACTTGCAGCGCCGATCGGTACGAAAGAGCGACAGGGTCTCCAACGAACACGTAGACGATCCGAATTATTCGTGTAGTCAAAGCGTAAATGAGAAATTCACCACGCATACCACCGCAATGATGTTTTGGAGACTTTGGCTTCCGTGACTTCCCTCTGGAATAATTTCTTTGAAATTATGTCCGAATCCCTCCGTAACCGGCTCAACAGACAAAACATCTCCAGTGAGTTCCCGCTAAATTTGTCCGTGCTGCTGAGTTTCTTCCGTGACCCTTGCCTTGCATTCCAAGACAGCCCACGAACAGGAGAATATACCACGGCAAGGTCATCGGTAGAGAACGCTGTGAATGGTATGTCACGGCTTACAATCGCGTTATTAGAACTATGGGTACAGCCGCTAGGGCTTCATGAACTGGTACTTACAGATATAGTAGGCCGTATGACTTCATCGGTTCGACTCGAAAAAATGAAATAATTTCAAGGGCAGATTTGACATGTGCCCCAATTTTCGGGTCGTTATGCGTTCCAATCTTCATAGCAGCTGAAGAAATGGGTCTCATAAACCAGGCTACTAAAATATCACCGTTCAACGGCTCTGTGCCCGACGAGTTCACGGGTGGGTCAATATTCTGCAAACGCACTTTTAAAGCACTTTTGGTTCCAGAATTCGGTAGTCCGCTGTCTTAGCGGTATCGACAGGTGGGTCATTAGTTCCCTGATTGGTGCGGAGGGGGTAGCATCATTGTTATTGCATTGACGTCGGGATCGGACATGAGATCACGAGAAATATCTGAGTTGGGTGCTGCATTCGCAATTCTCTTGAAAATACAGCTGACGCCAGATCCCGTGGCGCAAAACTTGCGAAGGAGAAACCAATCGGAAGTACAGTTAGAATACGCACGCCATTTCGAATCCAGAAAAAATCGTTTTCTGCTCGAGAATTTCCTGAGGTTTCTCTTTCATGAGAAACGTACGACCAGGCTCCTGGTCCAAACTGCGTTCGATAGTGTAGCATAGTGTGACACTACCAAGCTCAGATCGACAAC